TCCTTTTGGACTATAAATCCAGAGCGTGTTTCACTGGTATGGGATTGCATGGTGACTTTGGAAAGACGCACCCCTACATTAACAGCTGGGAGAATATGTCATGTTTTCTCTTTTTCACTTATCTGCCTTTGTTTATTTTCTAACGTTTACAGATATGCTACATCAGGGTGGCCTAGGCACTATATATCTTATTTGAAAGACAAAGGGGCAGAGAGGGAGAGACTGAGATTTTGTTGTTGCTGTTGTGTAGCCTGTTTGAATTATCCTGATTATTTAATATACAGTGATAAAACTATAATCCCAAAATGTGCCAAGTTAAAGTCTTCAACTGTAACTTGAGAGGACTAGAACTATACCCTGCGGATCGTGGCAAGTCAGGAAGCCAGAGAGCCTCCTCCACAGGGGCAGAGCAGTGATCCAAAGACTCAAACTTGAGGGAGCTTCTGGCCAGAAGGAGACAGAGATCTACCCCTGGGCTGGTCAGGAGTCCAGAAGAGCCATATGATGGAGGAGGCAGGGCCAGGAGAGCACCATTTCCTGGGGAAGAGAGGTACCCTACTAGAGAAGACACCTGCCCCAGAATGGGGTTTGGGCCAGAGCAGGATGCAGCAAGAAAGATCTGAGCAGGCAAAGGGCCTGAGAATCTGGCTGGCAAGGATCCCGGGGTCTAAAGAAAGGGCAACCGTGGGCACTCCCAGGGCAGCCTGGACTAGGGAGCTGCCCAGCAAGGGACTGCAGATCCTTAGGGGATTCTCTCCCAAGAGAGAAAGCATTCCATCTGATGGTTCACTCTTCAAAGCCAGCAAACATCTGCAGTTAGTGAAGGCTAAACCCACGAGCTCCATTACAATCTCCCATATGGGTGGGAAGAATCCATGTACTTGGCTCATTATCCATTTCCTGTTCTCTCCCAGGCACCCTCGCAGGGCACTGTTATTAGAAAAATGAAGTACCTAGAACTGAACTTCCATCCTTCAAAACGTGTATTTGAGGCAGAAGGACATACACTCAAAGATAGCTAGCCAGACATACAGAGATCACCTATTCCCACTGCTTCATTCCCAACTCTTTGCATCTCATGGAATATGACTCTAATTACCTGGATTATAGAGTCAGTATCGTACTAAATTTTGAAGATCAGTAATCAACAAACAACACTGGCTTGGGTCTGGCGCAGTAGCCTAGCAGCTAAAGTCTTCGCTTTGCATGTGCTGGGATCCCATAAGTACTGGTTCTAATCCCAGCGGCCCTGCTCCCCATTCAGCTTCCTGGGAGAGGAGTCAAGCATGGCCCAAGACCTTGGGAACCTGCACCCACATGGGAAACCCAGGGCAGTGGGCTCCATGCTCTGGCTTCAGATGGACTCAGCTCAGCTCTGGTTGTTGAGGCTGCTTGGGGAGTGAATCAATGGATGGAAAATCTTCCTCTCTATATCTCCTTCTCTCTGTATATCTGGCTTTCAATAAAAATAAAATAAATCTTTAAACAAAACAAACAACATTGGCTTAATAAGGGAGGTCCTGGGAAGACTTTCTGTTGGAAATGGTTCACTGTGGCTTCATCAAAATAACGTGTATTTCAAAGTCTATGTGTTGCTTTCTTACCAATCCTCCCTACAGGAGCCTGTGCTGTGGTACAGCGAGTTAAACTGAGACTTGCAATACTGGCATCTCTACTGGAAGGCTGGTTCAAGTTCAGGCTGCTTCACTTCCAAGGCAGCTCCCTGTTAATACACGTGGAAAGGTACTTGGCCTCCTGCCACCCATGTGGGAGACCCAGACTGCGCACCCTGACTGCTGCCTTCAGTCTAACCCAGCTCTGGCTATTGGGCTCACCTGAGGAGAGCATCAGCAGATGGAGAATGTGTCTCTTGCTCCAGCCAGCAGAGCCAGGACCTGGACACTGCCAGGGTCTGAGGGATGAGGCACGACAGGAGACCAATGATGGTGGAAGTCTCCAGGAAGCCTGCCTTATATATTCTTTCCCCAAGCTCTTTTACAGAACAATGGGATGCTAATGAGTCTGATTAGACTAGGCGCTACTAGCCCCAAGCCCATTTCCTGTAGGTGCTTAGCTTAACCAGTGCTAATCAACTCCTTAGCCCACAAGTCTCTCATTGTTACTCAACCTTACAAGTAAATTAATAATAATAATAGATCTCAAAACACAAGAACTTGTCTGCATTTTTTTCTAGTTTCAATTAAAAATGCAACTAAGTGCTTTTGAGCAAGTCATTTGATGATTATTATCATTTATAATTTCCTCTTTTGTAAAACAGAACAAAAATTTTTCTGCTTTAATGGGCTGGTATGAGGACCAAATGATATAACACATGCCTGAAGAACTTCCTCAGTTGCAAAATGCTATGCAATTGCTTATGATTATTTTAAATTTAAATAAGTTATGCATAAAGAAATTAAGAGTACTCACATACTATAAACAGTAACTATTAAGTATTAAAATTATCTTAAATTCACAAGTGATTGAACTGCATGTGGGAGGGTAAAGAATGGCCTGAGAGTTGAAGAAACAACTACAGAATGCTGTTCTCAACAATTCTCTATTTTATCCATAAACTTATCCCTCAGGTCCCAATTTTAAACTGGAACGCAACCCTTTTTTAATTTTTCTCCCTATAAAATTTCTCCTTGGTCAGGCTTTTAAACAGCACCAGTTCAAAATATCACAAGGCAGGAATAGCAAAACTAACCATAACCTTAAAGCAGACTATTTTTGTATTGATAAATAAACAGCTATGTTTATTCTTTGTATAACTTAAACATTTGTTATTTATTTTCCCACTGCCCTAAGTGGGAGCAGGAATGGGGGAAGCACAGAAAAAGCAGGCGGGACATAAAGCTTTGCCTCCCCGCACATCAGGAAACAGTGGCAAAGGTCTTTCTTAACAGCATAGGCAGGCATGATCAAGATGACAGAGTTGCCAAGCACCAAGTTTGCTTTTCACATTCTTTACCTTCCCCCATGGCATCCAGTGACCTCATGTGCTCTTTTAATTGCAAAGAATGAGTCTCTACTGCTCTTGGGCTATTAAAAAAATGCAATCTCAGGTTTGATATTATAGAATGATTGCCTATTGGCCATTTGGCTAGCAGGATTTTGAAATACTGGTTGCCAACACTTCATTTGGCCATCTTCCCTTTCATTCCCCATTGTCTTACGCAGTGCCAGTCTAACTAATTTGTTTTACTTGTCTGGCCCCTTGTACATCTGAGTTCAGCAAGGCCTATCTAGACTGCTCCTGTTTCCCATCAAAGCTTACTTTGTTCAGTCCGAAGCCCTTCATTAGTTTTTCAAAGCAGTAGCTAGGTAATCTGATCAAGTATGGGTTCTTTAACATGTGCTTTCTGGAGATAGTATCTTAACAGAAAGGGATGACTCCGCAGGTGGAAGCCACAGGCACCGCAGGATTACAGTGGGGATGGCAACGCACCCCTCTACCTTCCCTGCTATTGCACTGTAGCCCCACCTTCCTGGTCCCTGGCAGAACAATAGACAGGGTTTCTTTAGGAAGCTTTCTGAAATACCGCCTTTACAGTTCGCCTAGCTTCCAGAAACCCAGAGCTATTATGGGGCACTTCCGACTCCCCAATTCCTCAGAGGCTTCAGGATATCCCACTTGATCGCATTTCTCCCTCACCTGCCTTTGGGGTCCGTTTTGCCCTGGATGGTCGCGCCCTAGAAGCGCGCGCATCCAGCATGAGCTCATCTTTCGGGGGGCGTTTCCAGAAGGCCCGGCCGGCCGACCCCATCAATGGCCCGGTAGGCAGGCTGAGGCGAAGCGAGGCGCTGCCGCCCACAGGCGCAGCCTCTCTAAGCGTTGCTCCTACTTTATCCCGAGAGTTCACACCTCGCTGGGGACACCCTTTATCCCATCTGGCCCTTTCAGGAAAGACGCCGACAGACTCGGCATGCGCGACGTGGGGCTGAGGGAAACCTTGGGCGGGCCGAGGGCGCCGCGCCCCGCCGACAGCCTGTGGTGGGCGGGGGGAGCCCCAGGACCCTCGGCTCGGCGGAGCGCGCCTCAGACGCCTGCCCCGGCGACCGCAGCAGTTTCGCTCTGCCGCCTCAGGACTAGCGCTTCCTATTTGCGGTTTCCACACCGGCCGGGAGCAGCCGCAGGCGAGCCCGACACCTAGGCGGCCACGGCCCGGCGAGCGGCTCTCGGCTCCGGGCCGCCGAAGGCCAATCGCGCTGCAGCTAGGTCTTGCGATTGGACAGCCGTGAGGGCCGATTGGCCGCCAACGCGGGTTTCGGTCGGCCTCCCTTTTCCTTTGGCCATCCCTCCGCCTCCAAAGCTGTGGGCCAATGAGACGGCGCCTTATACACGTCCTCCCTCCGTTTTCCGGGCCCCACCTTGCAGAGGGAGGAGTCGTTCTGACTGGCCAGATGTCCTCGGAAGCCCCCTGCCCTTCACCAATCACTCAGGGAGGTACACGCCCAGCGGAACTGTCCAGCCAATGACGAAGCAGCCCCAGCTCGCGACCCTGCAGCTTCACCAGCGACTCTGGGTTTCTCCGTCTTTAACTCTTTAAGGCTTTTCCTTGAGGGCTGACGACTGTGATTGGCCGCTGTGACCGTCGTCGAATTTGTCCTCCGGCCAGCCCGAGAAAAGGCGCAGCCATCTCCTGCCCGTTCGGCCACCCTCGGCCCTTTCCGCTCTGGAGGCGTGGCTTCCCGAGGACACTTTGCAATTGGCTCCTGAAGGCGCTCGGCTTTTTCCGGGAGGAGCCGCAGACACACGACGTCCGTGATTGGCTCCGCTCTGGCTTCGGCTCCGCAGCCGAAGCGGACGGGCGTTGGGCTCGGCCGGCGATTCCCAGACGCCTGTTACGCGGGCGGCGGGGCTCGGGGCGCGGGGCGGTGCAGGGCTAGGGTGGGGGAGGAAGGAGGCGGAGGACGAGGAGGAGGAGGGAGCGGGAGGGGGCAGGGGAGGGGGCAGGCGCTAGGCGGCTGCGCAGACGGCGCTCCTCACACAGAGCAGCCCCCGACCCGGGCGAATGCGGGCTTGTGCCGCCGCCGCCGCCGCCGCCGCCCGGGCCGAGTGACAAAGGAAGGAAGGAAGGAAGCGAGGAGGAGCCGGCCCCGCAGCCGCTGACAGGGCTCCGGACACTTCCTCAGCGGGCACCGAGCAGAGAGGCGTGGGGCGTGAGGGGCGGCCGCGCTGGTGCTGTGGTCGGGGGAGGGGTCCCCGAGGGACGGAAGCGGTTGCCGGGTTCCCATGTCCCCGGCGTATGGGGAGCAGTCGAGGAGCCGCTGCCTGGGATCTGAAGGGAGCTGCCTCCGCCGCCGCCGCCGCCATGGCCGCTGGATCCAGCCGCCGCCTGCAGCTGCTCCTGGCGCAATGAGGAGAGGAGCCGCCGCCACCGCCCGCCTCTGACTGACTCGCGACTCCGCCGCCCTCCAGCCCGCCGGGCCCCCGCCGTCAGCCGGCCGGATCCCGCCGCTGCCGGAGCCACAGCGTTTCCCGTCGCATCTCCCTCTCCCTCCCTCCTTCCCATCCCCCCCTTCTCTTCTAGCGTGAGACTCGTGATCCTTCCGCCGCTTCCCTTCTTCATTGACTCGGAAAAAAAATCCCCGAGGAAAATATAATCTTCAAAGTGCTTTATTTTCAATCAAGTATTTGTCACCGTTTCACAGGATTTTTTTTAAAGGATCTCTTCCCTCCTCCCCCTGGTTTTTTTTTTTTTTTGCCTTCCCAGCAAAGGGAGGGGAAAGGACTGTTTTTTTCCCCAGCCCCAAATCATCTATATGATAAATATCCGCACCGATCTGTCTTTGAAGATACATCGTTCGTGCTTTGTAATTTTTTTTTTTAAATATAGCTATACAAAAGCAGTGAAAGGCCAAGAGGACGAAGTCTTTTTTTTTTTTTATTGTGGGAGAACTTAATGCTGCATTTATCATTAACCTAACATCCCAAAATAAAACAAAAGGAAGAAAAGGAGGAAGGAAGGAAAAGGTGATTCGGGAAGAGCGTGATCATGTCAGGGCGGCCCAGGACCACCTCCTTTGCGGAGAGCTGCAAGCCAGTGCAGCAGCCTTCAGCTTTTGGCAGCATGAAAGTTAGCAGTGAGTACTGATTTTCTTTTACACCTCTTCTCCTTCTCACCCCCGGAAAGCCAGGAACCTCGAGATCCCAGGACCTTGACGCGCTAGACCTCTTGTTAGAGAATTTAGCAGGGCTAATGGAAGAGGGGGAAACCTGTCTGGAGTGGAGGGTGAGGCAGCTCCCTGTTCTCCCATGCCCCCTCCCCTCCGGCTCGTTCACCTTGGTTGCGAGCATGATTTTTATCTGCACGGTTGGGTTGGAAGCCTGTCTCACGCTTCCCTAACTATGGATGATCACCTTTATGCAGTGCTTGAGTGTTGAAATGGTGATGGGAGTGCTCCCTTGGCCCGCCTTTGGAATAAGGAGGATAAACCATTATGTGCATTTGCACAGTGCCTCACGGAGGGAGGGAGGAAATTCTGATTAGCTCGGGTCTCGGGGGTTATCACGGTTTTATATGCTTGGTAGAGACATTAAATGTCCCAGCCCCCAAGCATTTCTCTCCAGCCGTGTCACCCTCCAGAGTATTTGTTCTTAACCTGGGGATGAACTTGGCTCACTAGCCAGCCTTGGCGATGGGAGGTGGTCACTGCGCCCTCCCGTTGGAAGGGGCTGATGGGAATGGATAAATATCCAGCAGCAGGAGCATCGCCGAGTGCATTGTCTCCGATTAGATAAGTGAAGTGGTTTAATCTGTTGTCTGTAACTTAACTGCCTCTTTTGGCATCACCAATCTGTTGTCATGCAATATATGTTTAATCAAAAGGTAATTTGAAAGTAGGACCAAGTTTTGATTGAGGTGTGTATTTGTCATAAAGCCCAATACTAAGTTAAGTGTTAATTGTCATTGAATCGTTGTCATTTCAGTTCAATCCTGAGGTGCTGTTACATTTATTATTTGTTGAAATATTCGGGAGAACAGAGGATTCCTTTTTAGGAATACTTAAAATACTCTTGTATCAGTTTTCCTCACGTTTAGATAAGACTGTGAATGTAGTTGTATGAAGTGTAGATTTAGTTCTTAGCATCAAAGCCTTGGCAGAAGGCTGTGGTCCTGGGAATAGTGGGGGCTCTTTGGGTTGTGCCCTCGGGGGGGTGTTACCGAACTACTTTTGTTCCAGATTTGTGCTGTAAAGGCTCTTTCCTTGAGGTGTTTGTTATATTAAGTGTCCAATGAGCCAGCAGATCTCTGTTTATGGAGGGGTTTTTGTGGTATTTAATAGCAGGTTGTTTAAATGTACTTGCAGAATTTGGCAAAAGTGCCTATATTGTTTCCTTGTTCTCCGAGAAAGGGGCATGAAGAGGGCAACGACAGACTGTTTTGTTGCCTAGAGGAGATAAGAGTACTGAAGAATCTTAAAAAGTAGATTTTGTTTGGGGAAATGATGATATCCTTGAGCAGCATAAAATGTTTACTTTTAATTAAACTGAAGATTCTAATTCATTTTGGCTGAACAAGGTAGTCCAAAGGTAGTAACTGAATGGGAGATTATTTTTTTCCCCAGTGACTAGCTAGTGGAGAATGCAGAGTATGTGAAGAGGCAAGCTGATTGTGCATCTTTCAGGCAAGGGTCAACCTTTCAAAACCCTTCTTGGGGTCATTTGGAAAGGATATTTTATTCTGGGGTAGTATTTAATTATGATGAAGCTGTATTGTAATAGCTGATGCCTCTTGTAATACCGAAATGTTTTACATCTTGATAATACAGTTTAAAAACACTGAAAGTCAATTTTAGGAATGTGGTTATTAGGTGTGCTTCAGATATCTATAAAGCTAATGTTTAATGCTAAACTTGGGAGGTTTCATTTTGTTTCTAGGATTTTCTTTGAGAACAACTCCTTAATTCTTTCTGGCGTACGTGTTGGTCAGGAATGGTGTGATTTTTGTAAAGTACGTATTCACATGTTTAATTTTTTGACCATGTTCTATTTAATATTTGAAAAATTGGAATTAAATTTGTTGCTAATAATGTGTTTTTGACAAACTTAGCTCTAGAGACATTTGACAGAAAGCAGGGTTGTTAAGCATTTGCTGGGGTGCTCGTGTTCTTAGGATCCCTGTTCAGAATAGAAATACATATGAAACTGTAGCGCTTGGTTTCAGAAAACATACCATTTAGCAGAGAAGCAAGTTGTGGGAAAAATTAAGCAAACAGTGGCATTATGTCTGCAGGATTATAAAATACAAATTGAATCCTTTGTTCAGAGGGACAAAGACTAAAGGAGTGAGACGCACTTTTGAGAGGGAAGATTTCCTGCCGAGAAGGTGTGTGTTAGGACAGGTGTTGAGGAAGGCTACCCAGCTTGAATTGGTGGAGCAGCATGAAAGATTCTGGGCAAAAGGATTTGAGGGCAGAGATGGTGAGCTTTGCATGGTAGGCCATAAGCAAGCTGGTAAATCTGAACTAAAGAACCCAAGGAAGAAAATAAGAGGGAGAATCTGAGAAATGTTGGAGGCATAGCAGGCAGAGATCTGAACAGGATTTTATAAAAACTTTGTATTTAAAAGACGGAGTGATAAGGATCTTGTTTGCTGCTTTGCTATGGAATGCTTGCAACAGGAGGGCGAGAGTAGGCCTGAGGCAGGAGTTTGGAACTCAGTCTCCCACTGTGTGGTAGAAACCCAAGCACTTGAGCCTTCTTCTGCCTCCTGGGGTGTGCATTAACAGGAAGCCAGGGAGCCAAGACTGGGGCTGGGACTGGCGTTGGGATGTTAGCAGTGCTGAAACACAAACCCCTAAACAAAGTATCTGAGGAGGATTTGGGCAGCTGAGTTGAATTACAATAGCTGTTAGAGCCCTTTAGGGAGATGTTAGGGTTATGCTGTGAGCATGAGGGCATAAAATAAACTGTGAAAATGGGATGAAAGGAACAGATTTGAGAGATGGTGTGAGTGAAGAATTGGCAGGACTTTGGGTTGGACTGAGGGGGACTATTTGTGAACCAGTCAGGGGTTAAAAATAAATTCTGAGGTTATTGGTCTGGAGGACTTGACCGCTGAGTTACATTGTTAATTGTAATGGGAAAATTGAGAGAGTACTGAGATGGAAGGGTAGATGAGTTAACTTTTTAAAAATTTTATATACAATAGGTTGCTTGGAAATTCAACAGACAGCAGTTAGTTATTGGCAATGCTATGTAACTCTCCAGTCTAAAATTGCAGTTTCTGATTTTTCGATACCTAAAAATGTTGGATTTATTTTTAGGAGCATTGATCTAGTTTTTATTTCAGTGTGTTTAATTAAAATCTTAAAAAATAATTTTACATTTGAGGGCTCACATTTAAAACCAAGATATAATAGCTTCACGATAACTTACATGAAAATGAATATAGTTTTGAAAAAAAATGTGACTTTAACAATTTAAATAGTTTTAAAATTTTGTTTTATTTTTGTTTTAAACATTTATAGAGAAAGGACAGACAGGGAGAGGTCTTCTGTCTTTTAATTTATTCCCCAAATGGCCTCAGCGGCAGAAGCTGGGCTGGCCTAAAGTTAGGACTAGCTTCCAGATCTCCCATGTGGGTTCAAGGGTTCAGGAACTTGAGCCATCCTCTGCTGCTTTCTCAGACCATAAGCAGGGAGCTGGATTGGAAGTGGAGCAGCCAGGACACAAATTGATGCTTCTGAGGGATTCCAGTATTGCAAGTCAGTGGATTAACTTGTTTAGCCACTGTGCCAGCCCCTTAAATAGCTCTTAGTTTAATTTGTTACATGCTTGAAACGTATTAATAAATTCTGATTGTTTTTGAGTAAACCTTGCATTAAAAATAATATTGCTGGGCCCGGCGCGGTGGCGCAGTGGTTAAGGTCCTTGCCTTGCACGCCCGGGATCCCATATGGGCGCCGGTTCTAATCCCAGCAGCCCCGCTTCCCTTCCAGCTCCCTGCCTGTGGCCTGGGAAGGCAGTTAAGGACGGCCCAAAGCTTTGGGACCCTGCACCCGCGTGGGAGACCCCAAAGAGGCTCCTGGCTTCGGATCGGCATAGCATCGACCCGTTGCGCTCACTTGGGGAGCAAATCATCGGATGGAAGATCTTCCTCTCTGTTTCTCCTCTCTGTGTATCCGCCCTTCCAATAAAAATAAAAATAAATCTTTAAAAAAAAATAATATTGCTACTAAGTTTGTTGCACGTGAAGATGTTTGCAGAAAGTATAAGTTGATTCTTCTAAAAATATTTTTTAATGTTTTTATTGGGAAGGCAGATTTACAGAGAGGAGAGACAGAAAGAAAGATCTTCCGTCCACTGGCTCACTCCCCAAGTGGCTGCAGTGGGCAGAGCAGAGCTAATCTGAAGCCAGGAGCTTGTTCCAGGTCTCCTGCGTGGGCTCAGGGTCCCAAGGCTTTGGGTTGTCCTTGACTGTTTTCCCAGGCCACAATCAGGGAGCTGGATGGGAAGTGGAGTAGTAACACTGTTATAGGATCCCAGCATTCCAAAAAGCAGCTTCACCTGTCATGCCACAATGCGTAGACACAGGTAAAACTTTCTTAGATTAAAAATTTTACCAGCAAGCCCCACTTTGGCACATTGAGCAACAGCCTGCAGTGCTGGCATCTGCTATGGGTGTGCTTTGTGTCCAGGCTGTTCCACTTTTGATCTGTCTCCCTGCTAACGTGCCTGGGAAAGCAGCAAAATGATGGCATAGGTGTTTGAGCTCCTGCACATAAGATCTGGAGGAAGCTCCTGGCTTCTAGCTGGCCCAGACTTGGTCATTGTGGCCATTTGGGGAGTGAATGAGTAGATGGAAAGTTTCTCTTTACTTGTTCTTTTTTTCTCTGTGGGACATTTAGCATCGCTTTCTGGTTAATTTGATGGTGGGAGTGAAAAAGATAATTTTGCATAATTTCAAGAATAAAAGCATTTTTATGGTTCATGGATTTAAAAAAAAACCATTTTATGGTTCAGGCAGAGTTACAAAGAGAGAAGGAGAGACACACGAAAAGGGACCTCTTCTATCTGCTGATTTACTCACCACATGGCTGCTTGCCTGAAGGCAGGAGCCAGAAATTTCTGTTCAAGT